GCTCACCCAGAGTTATCAACTTCGAGACTCCATCACTGTAAGCAAACAGCTACTGCTGCCTATGTTCACCTGTGTGAGGCACCTGGGAGTTTCAGGGCTTGGTCACACCTATGTAAGCAACATAGACATGTTCCCTACCTCTCTGCAAAATCTCACCCCTCTTCTATATGATTTTCCCATGATACTCTAGGTTACAACTCTGCTCCCTTGAAACCAGCTGCAAAACCCTCTCTGGACAACAGTGATTACCCTAAAACATTGCACATGGAATTAAAGAAGCAATGTTTTCCCTGGGCCAGGGCACAGGAACTGAGTGTACCTCTTCATAGATACAACTAGCTCCAAAGTAACTGCATCCACAATGCTGACAGCTTAATGTACAGTAATTAAAAGCCAGCAAGGGTCCAGTGAACCTGCAAGGGCCAAGTTCTCCTATAAATCCATTCTTAGCACATACAGGAGATGTTTTGCTCCTGAGCCTCTCCACTTCCTGCAAAGTGTGGATCTCTCTGACAACCAATTTCTCAGTTTGCTGACTCAGGCAGAGCAGAGGGAAAGGTACCCTTGCAGGTTGCCAGAGTTGTGAATGATCTTTTATAACAGTCCCAAATGTAACCATGGCTGGAATTAACTAAGAGGTTAAGAGCATGATTCATGGATCTAGAAGGATGAGCTTGAGACACCATGGAAGTTGTAGCTGAAATCTCAAGTAATTGCTATGAGCTTTTTCCAACTACTTTCCAGCTAAAATACACTTCTAGCAGACACCTAGATTCTTATTTCAAATTCAAAATCACACAATAAGAACCTGAACAATTCAGGCATGTGTAAAAACTCATCCAGGATGAACAAAGCAATCTAAGCTTTGCCATCCCATACATCATATAACTGTACATGCAACAGTCACGCTCCTGCAATACGATAATGATATATTTCATTGTGTCATTAGTTGGGGACTGAACAGAGTGAAGTATCCCTGAGCACCACCTTCAAGATTTTTCTGACTGTCCCTGAAAATACACTTCAATTCTTCGTGGTCTCTGCATCCATATCAAAATATCTCAGCTGCTCTCCAGACAGTAGAACAAACAGGAAAGCATAGGGAAGGGGAAAAAAGAGAAAATGCAACACTGCATACTGCAATAAAAGGTGCCTTAAAGGAGGCTAAGAATGCCAAATGAGGCACAAAATGGCAGACGAGTACTTCTTGTCACTATCAGGCACATGCTAACTGTACTATCTGGCTGCAGAGGTGAGCTTGAGGCTTAGAGAGAGTTCTGTGATACTTTCACACCCCACTATGAGCACTGGTCCCAGGAAACAAGGCTAAAGGGCTCGAAAAAAGAAAGAAACTAATATGTGGAATAAGCTAATATTTTGTTGTGTTGTTGTTTTTTTTTTCCCTTGAAGAATGAGATGAAACAGACTCCTCTTGAAAAATTAAATAGTAGGAATATGCTGCAGGAAAATTGGCTATGTAATATGTAGCTGAACTGTGCCTTAAATTTGTTTTAATAAAATTTGGGGTGAGAAGTCACAACTGAAATCAGAAAAACATATTGCTAAGAACTGCACAAACACACTAAAAGCAAAAGTTCCAGCATCACTTTACTGTCTGCACAAACAAGACAACTGGGATGTGCTCACAGTTCAGGCACCTCAGCCCACCTACAAGCTCAAGCACAGGGTAGTGTAGTTGCAACTAAATGGCTTCATAGCTCACAAGTTCACAAACACTTACAAGGTTTTTATGGGATATTCTGCTGGGTGTCTACTAACCTGGGAAACTGCAGCCTGCTCCACCATGCAGTGCAGATACGTCCTAAGTGAACAAAATTTAAGAACAGTTTCCACCTCTCTGATGAAGACATTAAACATAAATCCAATTAATCTGCCTGGGGAAATGTAGGGACTCCAAGACAGAACTGAAAATTCAAGGTCTCCTAAGCCCCAGTTGAAGAATCAAATCACTCCACTGTCTTTCCTTTCCTTCTCATTACTGGGTGAACAGATGTGGTGTGGTACATCAAACTAGTAATGCTGAAGGAAAAGTGTTTCCCAACAAGGTTTGTTATATCCACTGTGCCAAAAGAAGGGTAAGTATTCATGGCACTGACCTCTTACCTAGAACACTTACTTTTTGCATCAATTAGCTAAACCTGTACACCCTAAAGTTTGGTTTCTAAAAGTTATTCCCCCCCTGCTATGAGGAATCTAAACATGACTCAATTTAGCACACACTTTTTCCTTTGGTTTAAGTAGATGGAATCACTGATTTTAGAGTAAAATACTGCAACACATCCCTACTTGCAATTCTGGACACGTGACAATAAAGTTTCATTATACAGCTTTAGAGCTGAGTGCATGTGAAAAAAGAGATAGTAAGCAAACTGAGTACCAGTAATTTTTTAAGGTACAAGACATGTCACAGCAGGGACTCCCTGCTGTCACTGGCACTGCAAAGCAAGACAGAAGAAAAGTTACATGGCTGGAGAACAAGGTAGTGTACAATACAGTAGGGCAAAGCAGAGTGAAGTGAGAATGAGAGGTGCTATAGCATGGATCTAGTGAGATGGAAAGTCTGAATTAAACATCGTGTGTCTAGGCAGGAGAGAAAAAGCTAGTTCTGGCCCATTCAGTAGCCAAAGTAATTGCTTGCAACACTACAAGTAACTGGGCAAGTTGAGGTGTGGTGATTTGGGGTCTTCATATCTGTTTTAGTCCATTGGTGTTTCATAGCAATTTTGACTACTGTAAAACCAAAATCTTGGATTGGTGAAAGCAAAATTCATGTCCAGGTTCAGACTCCTATTTGTTTTCAATCACAAATCTGATGCCGTTGTTTTGTCCACTGCTTCAGCACTGCCAAGGAGACCCACCAACACCTCCTACATGCACACAAAACATGGCAGACATCTAGGTGGGCACTTCAATCTTCCAAGGGTGCCTCTCCTTTCAAAACCACACCTGGAGGAGACCTAAACAGCAAGACAGGCCCTGAGGCTGGGGAAACATAGCTGAGCCATACCCTTACCTAGATACTTCTCATAAACACATTGCTACTCTTGCATTCGTCTTTCATCTCAGAAATCAAACTCTCTTTTGGACAGCCTGCTAGTGCTCTGAGCTGTCCTGTCCAGAAAAAGTCATATTCTTTACATTCCTAAGTCACTGGGAATTTCAAACCAGTCCCTGTAAGTCATGCAAAACATGTGGCTTTAAAACAAAGCCCTGGATGCAGTTAGCTGATCTTTGGGCTTCTCCATTGCCAGGGTAAGGGGAAGGCTGGGTTCCCATAAGGAACCTGCCAGCTTGCCAGGATCCAATAATAGCAGAGGACATGTACACAAGCCCTTTTTGCATACTCCCAAAGTTCCCTTAATCACCATCTCCCCACGCTGACCTCTGTCAGGGAATCCTGGCAGAACAACCTACAAGCTCCAGGCAAGCACAGCCAAATGTATTTGAAGATGCAAAGTCTATTTTCATGTATTGTAAGAAATCACTTGTCTGCAGCTGCTTCCTTCACGTTATATTTTCATTTCAGCTGGTGTAATTTGCATTTTATAGCTTCATCGTTGAATAAATTTAGTTAAAAATTCATTAACAGCCTTTGCTTCTATTTCTAGTTACCCTGTAGAAACATATTAGAGAGCTACAGCCAAAAAAAGCCCGTATATGAATCTCAAAGCCAGATCTAATTTGTAAGGTTGATTCCATCTCTACAGGAAATCAACCCAGGCTCTCAGTAACTCCAGATGTAAACCCCATTTTTGAACACCCAGAGCTTTTAGACCCAGATTTACCTTTCTGTACCAGACTGGATGGAAACAGTGTTCAGGAAATACTGGGTAGTTTGTGTTCCTCTCCTGTTACACCGACTCCGAGAGCTCTCTCCCAGGATCTCATCTCACAGGTTTGGATGCTATGCAATATGCTAAATGTTACAGTTTTCTCTTCCAAAACAATTAAGGTTTATGATTGCCTTGCTGATCAGGAACAGCAGGAGACATCTCTTCTGACAAAATCAACCTTTCAAGTGTAATTATTCATATCTAATTACACTGCCAAATGAGGCCCAAATAAACAGGGTTCTTCTGAAATAGGTGCTACCAAGTCAAAGTGTGGGCTTATCTGTCATCCCACCCATGCAAACCCACTCATTTTCTTTCTCTCAAAACATGCAAACAGTTCCTGAAGGAACTGAAGGAGAGGCTTTCTCAATTTTTCAATTACTTTTAAAAAAGAAAGTAAGAATTATTAATAACATCCTGTGGCTGAAAAGCTGTCCAGCAGAAAGGGACCTGGGGGTTCGGATTCACAAGCAGCTGAATATGAGCCAGCAGTGTGCCCAGGTGGCCAAGAAGGCCAATGGCATCCTAGCTTGTATTAGAAATAGTGTGGCCAGCAGGACTATGGAGGTGATCATTCCTTTGTACTTGGCATTGGTGAGGCCACACCTCAAATACTGTGTCCAGTTTTGGGCACCTCAATACAAGGAAGACATTGAGGTGCTGAAGCATGTCCAGAGAAGGGCAATGAAGCTTGTGAAGGGCCTTGAGAACAAGTCTTATGAGGAGCAGCTGAGGGAACTGGGGCTGTTTAGTCTGAAGAAAAGGAGGCTGAGGGGAGACCTCATCACCCTCTACCTGAAAGGACATTGCAAAGAGGTAAGCACTGGTCTCTTCTCACAAGTATCTAGTGATAGAACAAAAGGAAATGGCCTCAAGCTGCACCAGAGGAGGTTTAGACTAGATGCCAGGAAGAACTTCTTCACTGAGAGGGGTGTCAGACACTGGAACATGCTGCCCAGGCAGGTGATCGAGTCACCATCCCTGGATGTGTTTAAAAGTCATCTAGATGTGGCACTTGGGTATATGGCTTAGTGCTGGACTTGGTAGAGTAGGGTTAATGGTTGGACTTAATGATCTTAAAGGTCTTTTCCAACCTAAGTGATTACATGAAAGCAAGACTAGGGATGGATCCCTAGCCCACAGTACCTTACTAATGGAGTTTGGAGTCTGTGGTATCTCATCCTTCAGTGCTGATGGGCTGTTTCCTTCCACGTCTTTTCCTGCAACAAATACATGTGATTCAGAGAAATTCTGTGCAAAATCACAAACACTCACAGCCTTAGAAAGGCTACTGCTTACAGCAAGCAAGAGAAGATGTCATGAGCAAAACAAGCACACAGGGATCACACAGAGGGGTCTTGTAGAGCTTGGAATGGCCTGGATCCACATGCTTGGCTTATGGAACAGGTACTGCTTAAAAGCAAGGTCTGAAAACACTGAGGTAAACCAACATGATGGTTGCAAGGTCCAGCATTTGAAGGCTGGAAAAAAAAAGAAATATGGTTGCTTATGCATCCTTAACCAGCTTCTTTCTGTGTCTACATTATGATGCAGTCTTTAATTACATTGCTACAGTCTGTTCTTTTCTTACATACCCCATGCCTCATTCAATGCAAAAGATAAATATAACTCTGTTAATAAGCAGCTATTCAATACATTATCCTCCTTGCTCTGTATCTGGCAACTATACACAGATGCACTTGATAGCTTGGTTTGTTTGGCAAATAATAACCATGATCATAAAATGTTACAGGAGACAGAAGAGTATCTAGATATAATTAGTAAAACAAAATTTAAAAAACAAAAACAACACCACTGCAGATCAATCTCTTCTGATCAAGTTATTTGTTAAAATTCAAAACATTTTCAATTAACAAGTAGTATTTATGAACACTGACATTTTCCAATAATTGTAGAGTTACATTTCCACTATCCAAATATACTAAACCTGCAGTACATTATACACATTATATATTAGTATGAGCATGTGTAGTTCTAGTACAAGCAATAAAATGTAATGATAAATACTATTCCTTCTGCCAACTGTAATCATGTCCTTACAGTAAAAGAAAGCACAGAACTTTTCATAAAAAACAGCCAAAAAATAGCATCTGATGAGACTAGCTTTTTAGTGCCAAGACAGTCGTCGTCACCCAATTGCAATGTGGATTTCTTCTCAAAACTGCTAGCAATCAGAGCTTCAGAATATTAGACACAGTAAAGAACCATTGAGACAGTGAAATATAATCCATTTGTAGCACACTGCAAAGACAGGAACTGCGAAAAATGTTTTTAAACATTGTGTGGGCCAATCTTGGAAACATAATCAAATCCAAAACCAACAAGGGAAAATTCCAATTCTCCTGAAGTCAGCAGAAGCTGCCACAGATGTGTCAGAAGCCATAAAATGTCCTGGAGTTTTCAGAGCAGCCATTTACAAAGCTAAGCACCATTAGAAAAGCCAGCCACAAAAGCTTACTATATATATATGTATGTATCCTCATGGCCATGTTCTGCACTTCCATCATGGGACATGTGAGAGAACAAGCAGGTCTCATTACAACCAGAACTGCAACTGTGCTACAGGGTTTCATTGGCAAAGAGACAGGACAAAAACCACGCCCTTTTTACAGGCATTAACAGGCAGTTTGGTGTATCAACTCTTAAGTTTAAGAACAGGCTTTGTGGGACAACTGTTCAAGTTCTCACATGGCGACTATGGCTGGCAGGGGTTTCAGAGATGTTCCCCACCCTGTGACATAGTGCTGCACTGTGCCACATGCAGCTGTGCTGATGCAGAACGCAAATATGTCCGAGGCTGGGAGAAGAGGGACAGCACATGTGTTGCTCAAGTGGGGAACTGAAGCAGAGGAAGCCACATAGGCAGCCACATCAGAAGGCAGCAAAACAAGGGGGAACCTGTATCTTAACCTAGTTTCTTAATTGTCACTCTTCCCTCTTTGGAACACCAAACCTTAGATAATGCACTCAGAAACCAAAGGTCTGCAGGCAGGGGGAAATCCCTAGTGGCCAGACACTTACCAGCCACCTTGTGCTACCATGAGGAGTGAGATGGCTGTAAGAACTGCTGTGCATGGACGAGGAACTGGATGTCTGTACTTTTTCTTTCTCTGATGGTGTATTCTTCTCTTATAGCCCCCATTATCCCCAACAGAGACAGAGGAGGTTAGAATAAACTCACAAAGCCATGTAGCTGCTGCACTTGCTTCCCATGAAGAGTTTTTTCAGTGCATGTATGGGAAAGTAACATATGGTCTAAGAGTTCAAGTAAAGTTAATGGGAATCAGCTGCTGCCTGCTCTGAGGGAACTGTGCCTGTTAGCATAACAGAATTCACATCCATTCTTTATGATGTCTCATTTCTGAAAGAAAGCTTAACTCCAAACTAGTATCCATACAAAATGTGAGAGGATGTGAGAGGTTTCTTCCTTCTCTCAGTTAAAAGGGTCTGCACCTGAACAATGAGATTTTTGGTGCTCCTGAGGTTCTGGACCATCCTGCTCACAGGGTATAACAAAAAATGGGAACATGCAACTGTTCACTCTTACCATATCATTTACAGGGATTTATAAGACATGTTTATGGAGCAGGATGTACTGGGCTTCTATGACAAATGCATTAAGCCTGTTGGCACTTGTGAGGGAAAGGCTGGTGTTTGGAGGAGAGCTATCTTTGCTGTCTGACTGAAGCAGACTTGCTGCAGCCATGCAGAGGCTGAGGGCCAGCCCTTGTTTGGAAAGCAAACTTCATTGAAACCATGTGCAAGTTTCTCAAAAACCCACACACATACTTAAGTGAACAGAAAGCCCAAAAGCAAGAGTCCCACCCAGAGCACAACAGACATAGCTGCCTTGCAAAAATACATGAGAAACCACATAAAAACATAAAAGGAGCTAAGTATTAGCTGGCTATAGAAGCTGAAGTTCTTATCTCCATGATCAAGAAAACATAATGGCCACAACAGAAACAGAGCTGCATCTCACCTGACTGTTGTGCTGGTTGCTAGCAGGGCATGCAAAGAAGGGTCCTCTACAAAGTAGCCAAAAAGTTTTGCACCACATAGTGAAAAATATTTTGAGAGCAGAATCTATGGTGCTTATGGAAACAGCCTTCACCACATCATGAAGAAAACTGCCAACACTTCAGCCTTGCGGTTATAGAGCTGAATTACTGATACCTTGTTTTATCCCATTACTATCACGCATAGGAAAAATAAATATCTAGTTCCTTTCCAGAACAGTAACTATTCATTTGCTTTGGTTTTCTGCTGGACATCAATCCTACAGATGCATTTGCCTTTCCCCTTTATAAAGAATGATACAGTAAGCCTGACTGATCAATGGTAAAAGGAAGAAAAATAACTGTTATCGAGGTATTAATGATAAGCTCCATCCAGAGTGAACCACTCTTTATAGGCTTTCTGATAAAGTATCTGGATAACTATCAGGGGAAATACAGGTGCTAATGTGTGGCAAAACTATTGCAAATAAAATCTGCTACTGCAGTAAATACCAGCCACATGGCCCAGTGTGTAAACAGACTTAAATTCAGTTTCATGTATCTATCCTATTAAACTTCCCATAGTCATCAAAGTGCATCTCTGAGGATGCAGATAGGCTAAACTAATTTTTTATTTAAAGCTACTGTGTGATCTTACAGCTTAGTCAAAAAAAGAGATTCTCTGTAAGTTCTTCTAGCTTCTCTCCCAATAAATTTCCTACCCTTTGAAAGAGAAAAGAGAAAAAAAAGATTCTCTCTCTTTATTGCTACATGAGAGAAAGACATGGGCAAGGAACATGAATTTATGTTTCTCTAGTTTGTGAACTTTCTATAAAGAGAAAACGTTTTCCTCAATTTCCTTTAGTTACCTTAATCATTAGCACTTTTGTATGCAAGCAAGGAGCAAAAAGTCTAAAGTATTATTTCAAATGGTGCCCTCTGCATTTCCCCTGTGTTCCATTTAGAAATAAAATAATCCTTTTGCTCAACTGTATCTCCATAGTGATGCTTGCCTCAGGTGTAAAGTCTGTCACTCCCTTCTCACTGAATTATTCACTTGCACACCCTTGTTGTTGGAGGGCATTGGTGCTGTGAGACCTGCAGCTCCAGCCACCTCACAAACCACCAAATTCCCAGCAGAAAATATTGGATGCAGCTTATCAGCCTAGACCCATGTCTTATGTACGGTGATAGCAGCATCCTTCAGAGGAATGGGAGAAGGTCTGGGAAAGCACACAAGACTCAGAGGAAAAAGAGGCAGAAGCAGCAGCAAAAGAGTGAAAGGAGGACCTGCCACAGGAACCAGAAACTGAATGTGAAGAACGAGTTACTTCTTATGGGAGAAGTGAAGAAAAGAAAAGGCAGCCCTGTGGGGACCAGGAAAACAATGAAAGGAGTAAAAAAATGTAAGGGCAGACAAAACCCCAGATTCTCTGCAAGAAATTCCCTGGCTGAAGCAGTAACTTCTTTGTGTTTAAAAGGGATAGTCTCTCCTTTAAAAACTCCCTGGCCTATGCCCTTCCTTTGCAATATAGAGGGCTACCACCTTCACTGATGCCAGTGCTGGAGGTTACTCAGGAGAACTGCACAGCAGAACAAAAGCTCCAGCATGGCTAATGGCACTTGTTCTCCTGAGACCAGCAAAGGCTGTTTGGTCTGGCTGCTAGCAGGGATCAAGGAGAAACAAGGTGATTTGGGAAGCTGAAGAGGAGACAAACTCTTGAGGTACCTCCTCCATGCTGAAACCCTTAATTTTCACTGGTTTCTGAAAGATGACAGTACTGAAATACCTCTATGAGGAAGGCAGTATCTTTTTTAGCACTGAAAATCCTGATAAGAACTGAAGAACAAGCAAACCCTAAGCTATGGATTTCCATTTTGCCAAGGCAAGGGGAAAGACTACAGCCTGAAAAAACAGCCCTTCAGCTTCCAAGGACAGGAGTGAAACACCAATTTACTCACCACACATTAGTATGGACTGCATATATGGGTAGCTAGTTGTTCAGAAGTGCCCAGAGGTTTGAAATGCACAAGATTTTAGGTATCATATTTTAAGTCATTTTCAGTTACCATGAGGTTGTTGAAACTACCAATTGCCTCAGTGACAGCCAAGATTAGTCAGCACTGCTGAAAATAGGCTCCCCATTGCCTTGAAGCAGTCATCCACAAATAGATCCTGCAAAATTACTTGGCTCTCATGAGACCCCACCTGCAGTTCTGTGTCCAGTTCTTGAGCCCCCAACATAACAATGACATGGAGCTCCTGGAGAAAGTCCAAAGGGCCACTAAGATGATGAGAGGGGTGGAGCACCTCTCCTGTAAGGACAGGCTGAGAGAGTTGGGGCTGTTCAGCCTGGAGAAGACTCCAGGGGGACCTTACAGTGGCCCTCCAGTACCTGAAAGGGGCCTACAGGAAAGCTGGGGAGGAACTTTTTACAGTGGCTTATAGAGAAAGGACAAGAGGTAATGGATCAATGCTGGAAGAGGGGAGATTTAGGTTACACATTAGGAGGAAATTCCTTAGTGTGAGGGTGGTAAGACATTGGCAGAGGTTGCCCAGGGAAGTTGTGGCTGTCCCATCCCTGGAAGTCTTCAAGGCCAGGTTGGATGGGGCTTTGGTTGAGTGGGAGGTGTCACTGCCCATGCAGGGGGGTTGGAACTAGATGATCTTTAAGGGCCCTTCCAACTCGAACCATTCTATGATTCTATGAAATCAGAAGCCCTTGAAACTTTTGCACTTCAAGTCAATTAGCTCAGGAAACCCAGATCTGGTTTTGCTCTGTGACTGCAAAGCCCAGAGAGTCTGTTGGGTGTTACATCTGTATGAGCACTCAAACCCTTTGACAGACGCTATGTTCTTTCTCTAGGCATCAGTGTTCTGAGAGCTCACAAAGGTGCTGTGAGGTTTGATTATTTTGCAGTGACATGAGAGCTGCAAATGACAGCTCTACAAACTTGTGACTGTTTCCTGAAGCACTTGTTTACAGACTGGAACGGAAGCATTGTTTGCTGGCTGCAATCATGGAAAGACTTGAATGCTTATTGTGAGCAACAAATTCTGAAAAAAATGAAATTGGTTCTATTTCTTTCAAAAAGGGTGTTAGGAAATTCAAAGCAAAAAGATATATAAAGAGAATGCTTAAAGCCAGTCTACCATTCACTGCAACTTTTCAAGATTCCTGGTACTTGTAGTGCTTGTAGGTATTTACAGAATATTAACCACAGAAAGTTTGCTCTTGTAATATTTATCCTGGGCTCTAAATCTGAACAGGGAAAACTGCTATTAAACGTCTGCAAATGAGGCCAGTAAATCTTAAAGAGTCCAACACTCAGGCTGAAACATGTCAAGTACCTCACAGTGGAAGTGCCCAAAAACATAAGTAATTTTTGAAAGGTGAGGCTATGCAGTGTTCCAACTCTGAGGCCCTCCATTCCCACTTAATGCCACGGCAACGAAAGATACTAGCAGCATGAAAGCAGCACTGGTTGGGATCTCGTTAACACTTGTGTTGCAACAGCTTCTCTCTCTCTCTTTCACATTAACTTGTTTCTCTTGTTTCTCAGCAGTGTGCTAAAATATCTATGTGCAGTCAAGCACCTGAAATGTCCTACTTGCTGCACTGACACATTAGAAACCAACCTGGGCTAAGTGGGTAGATGTCATTGTCAGCCCCAAAGAACAGATTGCGTGTCAGCTTGCGAGGATCGACCTTCTGAGGGGTGGACGAGGCCGGACAGAGGGAGAACCTGCGACGAAGAAAGTTCTCCTCCTTCATGGCATGAGCTGTGGGGGTTTTCTGAAAAGGAAAGAGAGAAGTAGCAGTTCATTTCAAGACACAGGAAATCAAAGTTTCACACCCAGATGACTCTGCTGCTTCAAAGCTGCCTAATCCTACGTAGTGTGCCAGATCTTTTTATAGACTGCCAGAAGGCTAGGCAGAAAAAAAAAAAGAAAAAGTTTTATTAGTTTGAAGCTACAATTACTGATTTGCTGACTCTCCATATTTGCAAACTGCAGGGATGCCCGACACTGCTCCTTGGTGAATCCAGGCAGGGTAACACTCTCCTACCTACACGGATATATCTAGGATATTACCTACCTACTGGGTCTATCCAGTCCACTGTGGCTAAAATTCACTTTTTTTTTTTTTTAAGGCTTTAGAGTCTCTTTCATACATGTCATTCCATTGATGTCAGCAGACTTACACCATCTCCACAGAAATCAACATTTAATCTGAGCTGCATGGTGGACGACCAGCTGCACTGGCTGCAGAGAGCTGCAAGGGGACATAACACCACTATCACTCTTGCCCTTTTTTCCAGTTACAGCATATATACATAATCTTGGTGTTCTTTAAAATGGCATTTAGATCAGCCTCGCAGTTTGATCAGTGAGATAAATCTTGCTGCTCTGTAAGGACAAAAGGACAGCATTTGTCTCCCCAAAAGCCTCCCTGCACCTCCATACAAGAGCCTGGTAGTACTATGCTCTTTACCACCACTTGGCTAAAGCATTAGACCATCCTGGCTGGAATTAAAGGTTTCTTTTATAACCATCCAACAAGCAGCTCTTTCTTACCCATTACAGATATTATGACTGTCTCCTTTCTGAGTTACAAGCTTTATTCCCTCCCCACGTGGGGCCAGAGGCAGGGCTCTTGCTAGCAGTAAGAAGTGTAAACCCAGCCTTTGGGCAAACATTACAGACCACAAAGGCTGCTGTCTCTCCACAGGACAGTTACTGCATTAAGAAAACCCTTTAGGATGGTTCATGTTTCCTAACAAGAACCTCCAAGTTTTCCCATCTCTGTTAGACTACTGGGAAAGCAAAGGGGAAAAAGTTGCCCAGACTGGCAGTGCAGTTCAGGAGGGCAGGACCAGCATGTACATAAGGTGATCTCTGGGGCACCAGGTGGAAAATGGGCTGACTAAGGGCTAGGTCATCCTGCCCTACCCTTCTTGTTCCCAGTACCACCTTGGTGCTTGAACTGGCCCAAATGCCTCAGTTTAATGGTAGCCTCTTGGAGCTCAGCCTTCAAAGATGTGACACTGCACAGGGGGATGCCACAAACATGCTTCCATGTGAGAAACTTCTGTGCTGTGTTTTATCTGAGCTCTGCTAATCCCTGTAAAAAGCAGTCCCAGTGTTTCAAGTTTTGCATTTTCTTTTTTTCCTATTTATTTACACAGCAAGCTGCATCAATTTCAGAAAGTAACTGTGATATACAAGGTGAGAGAAAATCTGCTCCTTCCTTCCCACAAGAGACAGTCTCTACCCAAGAGCTTAATTTGGTCTAAACCAATCTGGACCACACAGATGAGCATGGATTACCAAAACCACTTGGAGCACCAGCTCTCCATGCTGGGATGGGTGAGTCACCAGATACGAGGTTTTGCAACATCCAACCAGGGTTGATGGCCAGCCATCAGGACCAGCCTGAAAACGGGATCCCTCTAGGCCACAGAGCTGCTCTTTGAAGGGGATGCGTGTCCCCTGCTGAGCCCATGTCATTTATGGAGGAGAAATTAAGGTCTTTGCTGTGGTTTGAGGTGACAATGTTCCTTGAAAGCCCTACATGTTACCATGTCCCCCTCTGTGAAATGGCTGCAAGATTCAGCAGCAGCATTTCATCATAACCACTTCAAACAACTCTGGGTGAAAGGCTTGGTATGTGAATGTCAGAACAGCACGTGCTGGACGGGGCTGCCATGGACTGACCCTCTGCCCAGCACATCACGCCAGGCCGTTGATGATGTGTGATGACAGCTAAAGGAAATAAAGTGGCTGCAGGATCTTCCACGTGCTGCTGCCCTGCCTCCTGTTAATTCAACCACCCAGCAAACTCCCCCTGCAAACATATGTCTGGGCTCAAAAAGTTTCCGGGTTCCCACTGTGGCCAATAGCATCTCCAAAACAGCAGGTAACTTAAGCAATTGAACATCTGGCAATGTAAATAACCCTTTTTTTCATAGATACTCTCAACTGCATAAATCTGGGTGGTGAAAAGATGGCAAATTAAAGATAACTTTAAAAAAAAGAAAAGAGAGAGGGAAGGAAAATGCAGCTAGTTATATGTCTGAAAGGAAAGTATTTAAAAATAATCCGGGTCTGAATAGCTGGGTTTGGAATGCTAACACTGAGCTATTTTCTGCCCTTGTTCCCAGAAAAGCCATCTCAACTCTCTGTCTCTGGAGCTTCTTGCAAGTGGTTTGGAGCAAAATCAGACCCATGGGATACTCTTCCCAAAAAGCCAGTGGTCTGGTGAGACTGAGCCAATCATTGAAGAAGGCATTCAGGAATCTTAGGTCCATCCAGTGGAAAGCAGGCTGGGTAACAAGTTACAAACATAAAACATCCGGCTCTTACACTGCTCTCGTGGTGAAGACTCTTCTTGACCGGGTAAGCAAAAAGGCTGCATTCAGCAGGGTTTTGCCTCAGCAGTACTGTGAGCCACGTCAGAGGAGAACTGGCAGCCAGGTCACACTAGTGTCAGTGGCAAAATGCCTCCAGACACCAGAGGAAGAGCAGGCCGTATACCAGGTCAGATATCCCAGAACACAATTTCTTTCAACTGCTGCTATATTTACTATGCAGAGAGAATGATGCTTTAAAGTTTTACTCACCTGTTATTTCACACACATATATATTCAACCACAGGATAATTAACAGAACTATAATGTTGATGGTCTCTCATTTCCACACTTATTTAAACCATGGGCTTGAAAGCAAGAAATCTGGACGCCTTCACAGAATCACAGAATGGTTTGGACTGGAAAGGATCTTAAGGATCATCTAGTTCCAACCCCCCTGCGTGGCCAGGGACACTTCTCAGTAGACCAGGTTGCTCAAAGCCCCATCCAACCTGCTCTTGAACACTTCCAGGGAGGGGCCATCTGCAACTTCACTGGGCAACCTGTACCAGTATCTTGCTGCACTCATGTGAAGAATTTATTTCTAATAGCTAAGCTAAATCTATCCTCTTCTAATTTAAAGCTACTACCCCTTCTCCTCTAACTACAAGGCCTTGTAAAAAGTTTCTCTCCAGCTTTCCTGTAGGGTTGTTTTATACTTCACACACTTTTTTCATTGGTGTGAGAAAATGTAGTTCACGCTATTAAGGTTCTGTAATACACCTGAAATATTTGTCTTGGTTTCCAAAAGGTAACTCCGTGTGTATCTGCATCTGTATCCATCCTCTTTTATCCCCCCTCCCAATGCCTTTTGCACCATCGGCAAAAGTCAAGGAAACCTGATGGGCCTTAGAAGACTTGAAAATATTAGCTTCTTAAAAGTTAGGTGAAAATCAGTGGCTAAACAAAGGAGGGAAACTGTATCATCCTTTGAAAGAAGGGCAGTACTATGAAACCAACTACTACCAAATATCAGTGAATCCAACATAAGTCACAAATACATAAAAAAATGAGGCTTCAGTAACTCACTTACTCAGATCTGTCCATAAGCATCTGCCTGCCCAAGCTGGCTTCAAATTACATAAAGCCTGTGACAGTTGTAGGGGATGTTAAACAGTAATTGCATGGGCTAATTTTCAAAATGGATGTAACAGGAAGGTGAGAAGTGTGTCCAGTGTTTTTCCCAACAGGGCTTTTTAGACATCTAAACAATCCAGCCTCTGCCCAGAATCACCTGTGCAAGACAGGAGAGCATGAAGGGTTCCAAGAATATAGCCTAATACTTTTCTACTATTAATGCATGGCTATGTAGAAAACATACAAAAATTCACTGGTGATAAAGTATCTGATAAAAAATAAGCAATCATAAGAGACACACTTCTAGATATTAATGCTTTAGAGGATCTAATCTTGCATAGCTGATTTGAGGACAGCATTGTTAATTGGAAACCCAAATGTACTTCTAAATCAGTATTTTGGAGGTTGCTTCAGGATATGGCAGATGCTTCACACAAACAAATTCTGTGGGAGCTTGGGAGAAAAGAGAGAAGGTAAAAATCAAAACTAGGCCAGAACTGCAGAAGGGCACAAATTGCCATTATGTTAACAAACCACTGATGTAATGCAAGGCAACAAATTTCACCCACTGCTCCTGCATGCCCTCTAAATCCAGCAGATGAGTTGGAGAATTGTCTAAGAAAGACATAATGTCTTGATTTGAAGACACCAACTGATGCAGAATCTACGTGCTCTTTCAGGAAGCTGACCTCATTGCAAAAAGTCTTCACTCTAGCTCTTGCATGCATTTATCTGGTTTACTCTTGCTAGATTAAAGAACCGTGAAGCCTGCAGCTCAGGTAATTCTGGCCTTCTATTCTCTGCTCTTGATCATAAAAATGAGGGAAAGGTAATACAGGGAGTATTGACAGAGTGACTAAACACAGTATTTTTCAGGGTTGCTCCTTTTGCCTTGACAGCTCTCTAAGCAGTAATGGGCTATTAAGTGTGGGCTGTTCACTGGAGCTTAAATAGGAATAAATAATTCAGCAGCAAGAAATAAACTTCTCACTAACCCTGTCTTTGAGACCACTTTATCTTTTAAAAATGAAAAATACAGCAGATTAAATGTCTGCATCAAACCCCTATGAGGAACAGGACAATGAAAACAGTGAATCTAACAGGGTGCAACTGCCTAATGGGACTTTCACTTCCATGCAGCTTCGGGAACAGCCAATGGGGCAAGAATAAAATTGATTTTATCAGCAAACCTCGTGGTTGCCATTAAAGCAAAATGGAACTGTCAGTGCTCTCCTCTTCTGGCTCTGGACCATTTTGGGTGAAGGCAGCAACTAATACATCTTCAGACTATCAGTGTTGGTGCAGAGATGCCTTTCACACAGCTGTTCTGCATCTGAGTCTTTTGTCCTTGCTGGGAAGATGGGGGCAGTTTTCAGCATTGAGCACCGAGGCTTTTGGGGATGGAATTTTCCTGGCTCCCTCTTCATTATTTTTCTAAGTTACTGCTATATAATTACCACACAGCTAAACACTATGCAGACATTATGCTGCCCCTACCCTTCACAAACTGGTGGGCAGATTGGTTTGCTTATTCTCATTTTTCTATTAAAATAGATTGGAAATATGCACATCACTATAAATACTTAATTATGGGTTTCGTATAGTCAAGAAGGCTGTGGTAATTGGGGGGGCTCTTAATTTATTCAAGGCTTCTTTTAAACAACCTTTTCTTTTTCTGGTCTCTAACTATTTCCCAGAAATCAAATTAAACTATCTTTTCTATTCACAGCAGTCATTCACTCCAGAATCCACATCAA